AAAAACAAAAACAACGTTTTGTCGAGAATATGCGAATTTTGCGAGTACATTTTTTATGAAATGTTGACGATTTGGGCCGGGTTTTGTTTGTTTTTGATTTTGGTTTTGATTCGTTGGGTTAAAAAAGTAGTTGGAAGTAGAACTTAAGTTAGTAAAAATTATATTTTGATTATGTAGAAATAAGTATGTAGCATATTTTATGTATTAAATATATGAATTGGGTATTGAGAGAAAATATTTGATTATCAAAAAACTACGAATTTGCTTCTTGGAGTTAGGGCTAAGCTTTTGAAAACAGCAAACTGATACTTTGGATTTTAAAGCAAATAAATTCTACTGAAATTTTCTTCAAGGGTTTAAGAACAGTGGAGGTAAAAGGTGAACGGTCGTGCTTATACTTAGGAAATTCTCCTGAATTTGAAAAACTTAAATTCTAAACAGTTCACGGATGGAAGTTAAAAAAAATGCCAAACATTGCATACAAAAAATATTGAGTCACTGAAAATCTTTGAAATCGGGCAATAACCACGCCCATTTCCCATATAACGGTAATGTACAGAAACACGAAAACTGCAAATGCCCTTATTCCTGTTAATATAAAAGTTTCAAACGTTCCATATTTAAATTGGGCTCCACTTGTATCAACTCACGTCGAGCGTAGGTTTAATACACTCGAAGCTGTGTCAAAGCCCGTTCTTTTGCAAAAAAGTCAAGTTGATAATGAAGAAAATCGATGGATAATTAAAGAAGTAATGAGTGGTCAAATGAAAATGCGCGAAGATTTTTTGTATGAAAAATGAGCAGCAAAGAATGTTACTCATACGCCATATATACCTGCAAATACCTCGAAAACTTATCCTATGAATAAAAACTTAACCCTTTGCCCCTTTAATCTTTTGCGTTTTTGCAAATTTTTAGTGCCTTGGCCAGCCTATTTCGCTATTTTATTTTGCCTTTTTATAGGTTTTTATGTCCTAAAAATCCGTTCCCTGGTTATAGCAATTTCTTAATAATAAATAAGACTGCTATAGACTCTTAGTAATTGGGCGTAGCACCGCCCACGTTATGACTACAAGGTGTATCTCGGTAACCACTTTACAGATTTCTACCAAACGTAGTTCAATTATTCCATCAAGTCTATGTCAGCATAAATTATCGAAAAAGTTTGAATTCGGGAAAACCCCCTGCTTATCATGCAAATGTAGTTTATAGAAAGTTGAAAGGACGATATTTTATACCTGCGCCGGGAATATAAAGTTCGGTTTCGCCCGAACTTATACTTCTTTACTTTTTGGTAGGTAGATTTATAAACCTTTATCAAAATTTTCGCAAAAAATTTTCGTGAGCTTTGATACCTCATAACATCTCTAGGTTCCACAAAAGGAAGGCACATGCAAAAATCCGAAGTGAAACGTCTTAAAGCTTGTTCACATTATCGTAATTTACGGCTCATTTGTAATTTATAAGCAAATCATTCTGATATCAAGTAATTTCGCCTTCTAATATCTGTCAATAAATCAAATAGAAATGAGATAATTTATCGTAAATCAATATCCCGCGAAAGGTTAGCCCGATCAAGCTGAAAAATTATTAAAAAAAATTCGCCGAAAAAATGGACTATAAATATGCATTTTTGTTCACCATTTTTATATTCAGCATCTTGAAATTCTTTAATCTGACTATGGATTTGCAATTAGAGTCGTCGAAAGCACCAGAAAACCGATTGTTGTCATATAATTTGGAAAGAGTGCTTGGTAAACTTTATATAGATTGCATGACGCTTTTGAGGGGATAAGGACATTTAAAATCCTGAAGAAGCCAAAGAGGCGGCTGGTGGCAGCTGATTTTACTTTTATCAATTTGTAAAGAGTGTATACAATACTGAAATAGTGTGCTCCGTTTGGAGAAGTTTGGAGCTTTTTTGTAGGCTTCTTAACCCTTTGCTGTCACTTAAATTTTCTTTTGTTTAACTTCATTGAGTGTCATAAAGTATGTGGTATTTATATACATATGTAATATAAAAATCCTGAAACATTGTCAAAATTATTTACGCAGCATAAGAACCTATAAATCAAATATTCCAGGGTTTTCAGAGTGGTCTCATAAGATTTCTTCACTTACATATTTAATAAACATATTTTGGCAAAGGCAGAGCATGTGATGATTGCACAACTCGGCTGCTCCATTCCAATCAAACAGTATCCAACATTTTCTGGGAAAATCGGGCTTTTATAATTTGGGATGTAAAGTGTTCAGACACACCTTTTAACTAGGCCTATTTATTGACATAACCTAGTATCTACACAAATTTTAATATTTTCCCATCCCAAAACAAAGTATCTGTTTTCTCTACATCAATTTTATTTTTAACACTTACTGTGTTTTGGAATGGAGCAGCAAAACTCGCCGAATCTATCGAAACATTTCAGCACAAAAGAAAACATACGAATACCCAAGGCGAATTTATATAAGGTGGTGTTAATAGATCAGCTGATTTTGTGTACGTGTTTCGCCTCACGGCTTCTTATGTCAAATTGAAAAATTTTGTTTGAATTTCCACACACACTCTTACAGATTTTGACAGTTTATGCCGCCAAAGCAAAAACAAAATACATGTAAGGTTTTGTTTTTGTACTCCTGCTATCACCTTATATAAATTCGCCTTGCGAATACCCCTGAAGCTTCTAAGACTGCCATAGTGATTCTTACCAATCTTGGGCAGCGGCAAGGCACATTAAACAGGTAGTATCAGTAGAGCAAAAACAACATTTGCGTGTATTTTGTTGTTGCTTCTGGTATCGAAAGTGTCAACAACTGTTCTGAATTTTTTCTTCTAAATCAAAGCGTGCCATGTGAAATACAAAAAATTATAAAAAATAAAAAATTGAAATTGGAAAAAGTAAAAATTGATGCAACTTTCTTTCCTAGTAAATTTGTTTGCTTCTCGAAGCATTGATCCATCCTTTGCAAGGCCCAGTAATCAGCGGTCGTGCTGCCGAGTTGGGCGAACGTTCCAAAAGCTGCTATTCAATCGCTTGTTTTGTATGGAAAAAGGTTTCACAAGCAAATGGATTTTAACAACTTATAATTTTCGTGAGAAAAAATTAAAAATATTTGACATTTTCGAGACCAAATAATTTGAAAATAAATCCAATCAGCTGATCTACTGATACTACCTGTTCAATGTACCTTGGGCAGCGGCAATTAGCCTCCAAGTGTATGGTGTGTAAGCAAGTGTAAGCGTCGCAGTGAAAATCTTGTTCAAGGTCGCCAACAAAAGCTCAGCTCCTTTGAGTACTACAAAATATATCCTACCTCCTTTCCATGCAGACTGAGTTATTCGTTTCGTTTCCAAAAGAAAAGAAAATATCTAACCACTTGTCTCCGTGAAGGAGCCATCAGCCTTTTTGAGTGAACCCTGCTCAATGGTTTGATTTTATTCAAAAATTTTTACCAACCTGGCTGCATGTACCGATAACGCGGTAGTATTCTTTGAAGAACACTCTTTCGAGAAACGCCTTTGCTTAAGGAATGATTGCACTGCCCAGTAAGTTGCTACTTAAGAGTCAATTAGAGTGCGCAGGCGCTATTTTGTTGAGCTACTCTTAGGTATATGAAAGTTCTATATCTTTTATTTAAATTCCTTGATTTATAGAATAACTTATATAGTCCAAAGCCTCGCTAGATAAGTACGCCAGACAAAGCATCACAAAACTTTTCCCAGTGTTCGTCGATAGTTTCCTCAAACACCGCCTGTCCCTTGACCTCCACTGTATTCATGTAGGTACATCGGAAGCCGGAAGCAGAGGTACTGACGTTAATTCAAATAATTGCGTAAATTCTGGCTTAACTTGACAACTTAATCCGGATACAATCTTTTTCCGATTCTGATAATTTGTTGAGTCTACTCAAGTGATTTATTGCAATTTATTTAGGCGGAAGGTAGTTGGTAGTTTTTTTTTCAAAATCTACTTATAGGATAGTAATACTTGATGAAGTAGCAAAATAACAATAACAACAACAATTTCCAGCTCGGTGCAACACAAGATTAAAGAGAGTACCAAACAGATTAAATGTACACTTGAGTTTTTACAGGCAGGCGTGTTTGTTGCCTTTATTTTTGCAAGTACGAACTTTGTGTAGTTCGTAGCCTCGGTGGGCAACTGTAGCGATAGAGCAGCGGGAAATGGCAGTGCGAGTATACAAAAAGTTTACAAACTACGAGTATACATACATACATACATACATATGTATGTAAAAATGTGTGAAATACAAACTTTTTCAGCATCAGACGTCGCAAAATTTGTATACGCCATGGAAAGTTGAAAGGAATAAGTTGTGGTAAGAAGGCTCTCATTTGTCGTCTGCATCCATATATTTATTTCAGTATACATATGTATATGTATGTAGACATGTTTGCGCACGTGAATGTGTGATCCAATAGTGTGCACAGAGCAGAACAGTATGGCGGCGTAACGCAGCGCAGCGGCAACAATTGATTTAAGTCATTAAAATTAATTGCAAAACAACTAAGGAAGTCAGTGAGTCGTTATGCCGGTTGGAAAGGAAACACAAAATAGGATTAGAGGCAATGGGATGTACTATGTATGTATGTATGTATGTATGTAAATGAAGTGAGGGCAGACATGCCAGAGACAAGAGCATTACCAAGGATTCGCATTGCTATTCAGATGCATGCAGCCATATTTGCTCGTCGGTCGGTCGGAGGTTACACGTGGCTTCGTGTGTGTGTGTAGGAGGGTTTTTGTTGTGGCAGTGGCTGCTGCGTAGGCTGGCCATGCGCCACTCATATTTTGCATACTCGTATGCACATACATACATACATATGTCATATCTCATGCGATGCTAATGAGCGCTGATGTGTGGCGCATGGCCAGGGCAGAGCACACGCGTACGTAAGAGTTTTAATGAGCTGCAAATGTTTCGTCTATTTTTTTTTTTACTATTTTTTTGCGGTAGTCCCAGCTTCCAGCGTTTTTTTATTTTTTTTGGAGGAGCCAAAGTATGTATATGGGTGATGGTGATATGTTGAAAGTAGCAAGCGCGGCTGGTATTCATGGCATGAATTTTAATTTTTTATTAGTGCACGTGCACTTAGATACAGTTGTGTGCGCGGATGTTCGGAGACAAGCATTCGCGAATTCAAATTGCGGTTTTCTATTACAAATGTATGTATGTTTTCTGTACATATGTAGATATGTACATACATATGTATGTATGTATCCATGTTTGTCAGTTTGTCTATGAGAATTTTCAAATGAGTAAGCAATGGCTAGATGTGCCCATTCAAATGGCATTTGATGTTTTGAAATGCACGCCCACACATACCTATAACACATGCATACATACATACATATGAGTATACGCAACTATGCAGGTGTAATTGTGAATTGCAGCAATGCAGCCACAAATGCCACATTCACTGCCGTCAGCAGTTCGGTTCGTGCCCGCTCAATGACCACGACAGGCGTGGTTGGTTGGTTGGTTAGTTTGTTGGTTGCTGGATGCTGGATTTGATAATCTTGTACGTACGTACATATATACATACATACATACACGCATTCGTGTGCACATATAATACCGGAATGTGCGTGGTTTTGCCCTTTAAACTCATTGGCTTTTTTTTTACTTGACTCGTCAACACGTTCTTTCCTTACCCTACCCACCATCGATCGACCTGCTGTCAAACCCAATTTGCGCCCAGTTTCTCACTCAACACATTCACACACACACACACACACACACACACACACCTCACATGATACTCACTTTATATAGGGCTGATGCAGCGCCACCAAACTAGCATGGATGCCAACGCTAATGGCGGCCAAGTGGAAGTAATCGAATAGCACCGGCAGATGGTAGTGCAGCCCTCGACCTGGATGGAAATTCAGCTGTAAGGTGCGTGTAGAGGCCAACGATAGTGCGCTGGTGCCATTCTGTTCACCAAACCACAGTTCCAATTGCAATGAGAACTCAGCACGTTCAATGGATTCCTTCAAGTGACGGCTGTCGACTGTAAAAAAGTGAAAAAGTGAAGTGAAAAGAGAAAATCGAAAATTAAATACTTAAATTGTGAAGAGGATTTGAATACGAAATGAAGTTGCTGTTCATATGAAATGAAATTAAGTACTCTGATTTCTTGAGATAATTAGCAATACTAATTGAATGATTGAGGTAACGAAAGGGAGTGTAAATGAAAAGCGGTTAGAGGAAAGTGAGGTGGTGAATAAAAGGGGAAAATACTTTACGTTGCATTCGGAAAATTTAATTGAAATTGTGATCTTATTATTTTTGACCACCCATAATTTTTTAGAAGAAAGTATTTGTATTTACCATGAGCAGAAATGTGATTTTTTTTGCCAAAGGTTTTAATTTGAACATAGCAGTGAACTATTTTACTTTTGAGTCTCGTCATTTTAAAACTGAACTGCATTTGATTTGAAAATCGTGATTTTTTCACGACATCTAATTTCCCCCTCACCAAGTAATTAAGACTAGATAAGATTAGTTGAGGTTAGGTTAGGTCAAGCAGAGATCATGGAGATGTAAAGTGTTTCCAGAAAACTTTCGAGCTGACAACTTGGCATATCCCGTCTTTAAAAACATCAATTTTCTTAGGAAACTGGAACAACGTTGTGTGAGTGAGGACCATTCACACCTACGGAGCTCCGTGGCGGTTTAAATACCGTAGATCCTACTCCCTTGTCCTATCCGAGTCAGCCATACTCCCGCCATCTTTTGATGCCCGGACTCACTGAGTCACGCTAAGCATCTGCTCGTCTACTTATATTCAGAATTCAATATTCCGTAAAGATCTGCCCTGGCAAACCACTGAGTGTATTTCTGTAATGAAAAACAGCTTATCATAAAAGTACAATCGCCGTTCGGAGGAGAAGCTCGGCCAAACACAAGCATATATATTTTGTAAGCGCACCTGGCGCTGCCCTTCATGCTCTTCTACACTTTACCATCGCTTTCCCCCTAGCGTGGGGAGGCATAACGGCCACCTGCAGGCTTTAAATAAATGGATTTTGGTATGATACAGATTGGAGTGAAGCAGTAATCTAGACACAAGTGTCTTTTCAGTGCCTAAGGAGAGTACGCCACCATTACCTTTTAAATATGAGGATATTATACAAGGTTGAGTAGTCTCCGGATGAATTCGGGCTTAATTTTAACATTCAGCCCGGACTCCCACACTATCGAACCTTCACTGATGGCTTCAAAACTAAGACTGGGTCAGGATATTGTGTCTGTATCGAAGATAATGACGATGAGATTTGCTTTTCTCTTGGGGAATAAGCAGAGGTATTTGCAATCCTCAAGGCCATGGACATCGTGGGGGAAACTAGATAGAGATAAAGGACAGTCATGTTGCCCTCAAGGAATTGGCCAGTCCTCTAACTACTTCCAGACTTATTCGGCAATGCAAGTCTCGACTAAATTATGTTCGAAAATAGAACGAACTTATCTTACTCTGGGTGCCAGGCCAATTGGGGGTACCTGGTAATGGGGTACCTGACCATTTGGCCAGAGAGGGCGCAGACCAGGTTTTCTTCGCTCCGCATACAGTTATAGCACTCCCCCCTTCGTCCGTCAAAGTCACCGTCAGAAACTGGGCCCATATTTTCTTTCAGAAATGCACGCGTTGTTTGGTAAATTTAGTTCCGAAAAAAAAATTTATGACCTCTTTTGAACTAGTTGCAGCCTCTGCGGGGCAGATTGCTACTACTAATCGAACCTTGATCTACGAGACATGGTGCTAAAACTATATATATTTAGTCACATCTGATATTCAATTAGATATTTTCGGCGATCGAACCTGGGGCATGCTGAACAATTCCTTGCGGCTTCATCCATGCGGTTAAAGTGATCGTGTTAGCAGCACTATTCTAAACAATGGGCAATAACTTAAAAAGTCTAACTTTAAAATTCAGAAGACTTTCTTTTTAAAATAAAGAGTTTCTTAATAGAAAGTATGTAATTTTTTCTAGTAAAACCAATGTTTCCTCATGTAAATACGATACAAATCTCTGTGAGAATTTCTCATCCCACATTTTCGTCTAGCAACTATTCATAGCGAGATTCATTTAAAATTTTTAAGTAATGTTTTTCTTTGTGCGAGTGAATCTAGCTCTTAAGATGGTAGAATTTAGTTGTATTTATATATACACAAAGTCGGCTACTTTTGGCTTAAACAAATTATTTCATACGGCAGTTGAAAATTGCGAAGTAGGAGAATGAAATAAGTAAACAGAACAAGAGACTTCAGCATCCATCTAATGCTGCATACTTACGAGCGCACTATTTGCTCACCTCGAAAATACCCAAATTTAGCAATGAGTGAGGAAGCAAGAAGCTTTTGAAAAGTTGTGAACCAACTTTAATGTCAAATAAGTAAAACTTATAAAAATCTCAAACTTTAATCACACAGATTACTAGTTTGTATTTGCAGAAAGCTAAATATATATGTCTTAGTGAATATCTTAGGTGTTTTAGGAAATATGTAATTTCAGCTGGCGGAAATTTTTACATTAATGTCCTTCAGACAATCTTAAGTTTTTGCTGACTAAGAAATAATCTCAAAATCCGAACGAAAGTGTTGCAATATTTTTGGCAAATACTTATTCAACATTTCTCTTCTCGATATGTCGTAGAGATTTTACTTTTCTAAAAATTCAAACAAACATTGCAGACGACTTAAGAGTTGTCATCTCACTTCGTTTTTTATTTCATTTCATTCACCTCAGGGATGTGTGTACTATTTGCTTTCCACAGATTTGTCTTGGCAACGTCAACAACAAAGCAACGACGACGTGGGCCCCCACTTAACTGCGCGCATTCATGGTGAGCCGCATAAAGGCCCTACATCACACGTGTATGTACATATCTACATACTTAATATAAAGAATCTGATATATATATATGTATGTGCATAAATTTGTTATTTAAGAACTTTTGTGTACATTTACGCTAAGTTATGTATGCATTTATGCTAAGAGAGAATGTATGTATGTAGGAATGTATCGCGCTGGCATCAAATTTCTTGTCTTTCATACACTTTTGTTCACACATACATATGTATGTACGCTTGTTAACTGCGTTTAATATAGAATAGTATAAACGCAAAGATAAAATAGCAGAAACGCGCAGATAAAACGTAAAATATGCCACTTGCATGAAAAGTATCTGTCTGTCATTCGGTCTGCCGGTCTCCAATTGGAATACTTTGTACTACGTCTAATACTTATTCATATGGAGCGAATATATTCACATATATATGTATGTATGTATGTATGAAAATGCGTCGACTGCACGCGGTCTTCTTCTGTCAACCGCAGTCACCAACACCAACAGTTTCATCCAACTATTGTATGTATGTATTTTTAGAATACTCGTAGCAACAACTACAACAATGTAAATAGTAGCACTTATTCTAGGAGTAGTACTTCTTATGCCCGAGTACCGGATGAGTGTTTCAATATGTGAATTCATTTAATGTTTCCCTTCTCTAAAAATATAAACATACTTACTTACATATGTTTGTATGTACGTATGAGTAGATATGTAATTCACGTACAACATTCATTCAACTTAGGAGGCATTTACGACAAATTAACTACTTCACTAAAGAAGTTGGAAAATATTTTTCATATCCTCACACATCCGCTATAAAATTTTTCATCGTCTTTTATTTTAAGAATGTTTACATGTTTGTGTTTGGGTAGCATAGTTTTATGGGTATTTTTCGCAGATTCGCCGCATTACGATTTCTATATTAAAAGCCATTTGGGCAGTGAAAGACGACGTAGCCATTTTCCTTAACTTAAAATCGTCGTTGTCTTTTGAGTATACAGTTGCTGTAAGTGTTACAATTGCATTAGAACATATTCGATTTTCCAAAAATTTTAGCCTGAAAAAAGTTCCAAAATCGTGTTTTTCTCATTATCAGATTTGCGGTCTGTAATCCCTACCCAAAGTTCTTCCTTTCTACTTCTATGACCGAATTACGGAGTCAGGCAATCGCGTAGGGATGAAGGATCAACCAGGCTGGAACTTTTCGTGCATTCGCAAACGAAGTGGCTCTGGTACGTCAGTAGGCTACTCAGTCGTAATTGGTTATGGATGATCTCTGCCCGGGTGGACTACTGCCGTTTTCCACAACTCGTACAAAAGAGGTCGACAGAAAAAAACCAACTCCGCTTCAACTCGGCCTATGACCATCCCGGAATCTCCTATGGCAGAACGAGGTCCCAATGATGGCAGCCGAGAGGTGAAATTGCACCCAACAGCATCAATGGTATGGGAAATCCAAGGCTAGTTTTGTGTTCTGTTTCGTAGAGTAGTGGACCTCGAAAAAAAGCGAGCAGTTGTGGGATGGATACAGTGCCAGTTTGATAACCTTCGATAGGTCGGTCCAAGGACTTTACCAGAGTGCAACATTCAAAACCAACCACCAACACCTTCGTAGCAATAGTCGCCTAGTTACCTCACCGATCAAGGATGATCAGGGAAGAAGAAGGAGGAGAAGAAGAAGAAGGCGAAGAAGAAGAAGAAGAAGAAGAAGAAGAAGAAGAAGAAGAAGAAGAAGAAGAAGAAGAAGAAAAAGAAGAAGAAGAAGAAAAAGAAGAAGAAGAAGAAAAAGAAGAAGAAGAAGATGAAGAAGAAAAAGAAGAAGAAGAAGAAAAATAAGAAGAAGAAGAAGAATAAGAAAAAAAAGAATTCTATGGAAAAGCGCATTTCGCTCCGAAGAAGAGTAGTGAAGCAAGCAATGGACGAAAACATAGAGGAAAGTGGAATCTGTAAGCGCCAATGGAAGTAGATCCAAAGTAAAGCTAGAAGTGAAACAGGGCAACCCAGATCTGTCCTCATCCTTGTACGGATGCCTGCTGATTTCCTTGCAGGTAAGTTGTCTGTGGCGACGGTAGATCCGTAGCTGCCATCGTTAAACCAGTCGAGGTCTCTTCAGGAGCCCATCGGAAAGTTCTAGAAACTCGAGATGTCCCATAATGT